ATTTTATCCAGGGTTTAAAATTCCTTCCTATTTGGATCAAACCTGATAGTTCTCAATCTCCAAATGCTATATGACCCCTATGGGTTTAGTGTTCACGAATACAATGTTAATAATATTCCCCCTCTCAGCCACTACTAGATACTCTGGAAATAGTAACGATCCCAATGGAAATAAGTCACTTTGATTTTTTTGATTATCTTAGATAATTTCCACGTTACTATGTACGATAACTGTATTTGTGTGTACCTGTACCTAAATAAACTTACTTGCCAGCACACATGGGTACCTTCATGGCTATTTACATACCCTGGTCACTGCCAGCACACACAATACCTTTATTTCTACAGGTATATACAGGCTTAGCTGACATCAATGACTTGGTGGCTAAAGCTCTCGCTTCACACAGCGAGGTCTGGGTTCGATTCCCGGCAAGGGTAGAAATATTAGGCGTATTTCTTTATACCGGTTGTTTATGTTCACCCATCAGTAATGTGGGTACCTGGGTGTTAGTCGACTGGTGTGGATCCCATCCTGGGACAAAACTGACCTAATTTGCCTGAAATGCTTTGCATAACCAACGGCTTTCTATATAATAGTATGTCATTGATGTCAGCTAGGCCTATATACCATGTACATGCACTTGTAGTAAATAAAGATATTATTATTATAGAAAGCCGCTTTTTATGTAGAGCATTTCGGGCTCCATATCAAAAATATGCTCTATGAATAGAAACATGTTTAGGCTGTTCCGGTCTTGTTTTAACTCAAACATAACTCTCACCCCATTGGCACTTCCATGGCACGTATGTTTACCCCTCATTGGTTAGTGACACTCCTTATAATGACAAATTTTTATCCCTTTCCTTGGTCTGTATTTTTAAACCCCTCAAGGGAGGTTCCTTGACGCTGGTGAGGGGCTCTTGATCTAGGAATTGGATCTGTGTTCCAGTTCTCTGAATTAAGTCTGAATACCGTTCATTCACCCCCCACCCCCACACACCAGTGCTGTATAATCGCTACGGGTTTAGTGCTCCCCCATGATTATAGTAATGCAATTTTAAATCTATGGAATCTCTGACTTATGTTTTAAAAGCGAGTTAGAAGACTTAATTTTGTATCATTTAAGACGCATGTGCATCTCCTGGGTATCTTTATTAAAAGACGTTTCGCCCACCAGAGGTTGTATCGGTGTAGAGTAGAGCGACGTAGCAGTAGCAATATGGTCACTAGTGGAAGGTGAGGCCTATGAGGTAGGCCAGAGATTTATCATCGAGTTTCCTACAAGAAAGCTAGTGGTCATTTCTAGAAGTTGAGCAATGCAGAAGTAATAGATGTGGTCATATGTGGGCGATGTTCGCTAGTGGAAGATCAGGTCCATAAGATGGGCACTGTCAATCTCTCGGTATTATAATAATGTTGGTAGAATTACCGACAATATGTAAAGTAAAAGGACACAAGTGCAACTAATGTGACATTTTATTGTGGCAATGTTTCGCTCTCCAGGAGCTTTGTCAAGCCGTTACAAACAGTACATGGACACAGTGGCTCAGTGAGGTGTTTGTAGATGAATGGTTCAGAGAACCGACATGTTGATAAATTAGACACATGTGCAACTCTTGGGTATCTTTATTGAGGAAACGTTTCGCCACACAGTGGCTTCATCAGTCCATACGTAGGAGAAACTTGAAGAACAGGAGGAGAATGAGGTAATCAGTCCCTCAACCTTGAGTCGATGTGTTCAGTCCATCAATCTTGAATAGAATACCTATCAACTCAGAGTGAGGTGCAATACTAGTGATAGTAGTAGTAGTAGTAGTGACATAAGTTGTAGTAGTAGTAGTAATACAAATGGTAGAGCAATTAGCTCGTACATGAGTAAAAGGATATAAAAGCTATAACTTGGGTAACATAAAAATAGGTTAGCCAATATAGACTGGATAGAGAAGGCCTGTTTCAGTGTTCACTTCTGTAATGTGCTTTGTTAGTATTAACAGGAGAACTATGTGATGGCAGGGTTTACTGTTTTCAGGAGGATTTTGCTAGGATTCAGAGATGGTGAAGCTGCCTTTGTTGGTTTAATTTATTAAAGTATCGAAACAGCGATTAGTGCTGACTCGAGCACTTGCGTCTCGGAAATTAGTTTCCTTGACACTAATGGTGTCCCTGAATTTAGATGATTGGTGGAATTTCGTGTTGTCACACAGCGTTGTTTCAAGAGTCGTCCTACATGCGTAAATGTGTCATTGAGGCGGGTTCGAGGTTTTCTTGGGTTTCCCAAAAATCTTGTCGCAGCCTCCACAGGGTTGTGTAACCCCTGCATTGACTGGTTCGTGGTGCTTATTCTGTCCTGCAGATCTTATGAAGAGCTGGAAGCATGCGATCTGGTGTCCATGTACTGTTTTTTAAGGCTTGCAAGCTCCTGGAAGAGCAAACTGTTGCCCAATAAATTTTCACATTAGTTGCCGTTGTGTCCTCTTTACTTTACCTCGTATTTATAATTTTGATCTAGATTTGGCTTCTTCCGGATACGAGAACTTTAGAAGTTCCTTTCGTTCTTAACATGTTATTATGAGCAACCTTTCTAGTCTTTTATTTTGTGGTGGTTTATGAAGTTGCAAGTATCCGTCATTTAGGTCCGGGGGTGTTGTTACCACGAGGATTTGGCATACATGTGCAATATGAGACAAGTATGCGTAAGCTTTCAGTGAGACTTCTGTTCCCTGTACTGCTTAGATATTTAGCAGCAAAAACTTTTCCAATAAATTCTCTCAATTTGTTATCTTTATACCTAACATGTACCATTTCATCTGTACATGAATGTATTAAGTACAATCTATCAACCATCTACACCTTTCCATGTTTTGAACTATCGGGTTAAGAGAGTTGAGTACCTTCCTACGTGATGCATCTAGGTGATAGGGTCGAGATAATGTATAACTAGCCTCGCAACAGAAACAAATGTAGTGTAATAGAATATTTATTAGTCAGCAGTACCGTTATGTTATAAGGTTTATTACACTGGCAGTTGTGTCCCATGCACGATTTCTTATTTTTTCCTTATAACAAAAGTGCCTTTTGTTCACTAAGTGTCTCAATTTCAACTTTGCGGTTTTTTCAACCATTTAATAACATCCTTCATTTCTCTCAGAGCCTGGTGACAACAGGTTCCCCTTGGAGGTCAAGGAGTGTTGGCCTAGTTTTATGAACCCGAACACTTTGGCCTCTGTACTCTGCTTTAAGAAGATCCCAGTCAGGTTCTATGCTGGATCCACTCGAAAAAAATGGAGCATACAAAGCTTGGTTTATCAAAAAAAATTGATCAGAGAGTTGGACGTTACGAAGTCAACTACAGGGTCATATGGAGTTTGTAATCTCCCAAGGTACGGGTCCACCGAAATATTGTTTCCAGACAAATATGTCAGAAAGGATTGTCAGACAGTGAGAGGGAAGAAGGCCTTAACCTGGTTTGTGTGGAAAGTTTTCCTCAGCGACAAGCAGGTTACCACAAGGTTTGGCGTCACAACGCATCGTCCGTGCCCACTCTGCCAACTACAAGTCCAAATCCACTAAACGAATCACATCAAAAAGTTCACCAGGATATGCCCTACAAGTCAGGTTTTGCCCTAAACAGTTCAAAATTGCCACCAATCCAAAGAACACGAAGCACGTCATCAAGGAGAAGGGGACTTCGAGTGCCACCTTTGCGACAAGAAATTTGCTCTCCAGTCGTCTCTGGCTCGGCACGTTCGCTACCACAAAGGAGAACGACCATTCTGCTGCCACCACTGTGGTAAAAGCTTTAAATCTAAACCCCATCTTCAGCGCCACATTACCTGTCTCCACCTGAAGGAGAAACGGGTAGTATGTGAGGTGTGTGGTGCTGCTCACCACAACAACTGGAACTTGAAAATACACATGAAGACTCACCAAGTGAGTGATCACAACAGAGAACACATCTGTATCACTGTGGCAGTCAGTTTAAAAACAGCCCAGTTTGATGGTTCATATTCGTAAGGTACACACCGTCACTGTGGTCCAGTCGTCTAAAACTGCAGATGTGGAAGTCCAAACGCCAGAGAGCTCGGGGAAGCAGCTTACCTCGATATTTGAAGAACCAGCGAGGAAAACCAAAGACGAGTTGGCCCACCAGGAGGACACTGAGGGTTCACTCATAGTCATCGGGGAGGTCCTGTCATCTACACCTCCCCAGATGACGGAACATCGCACCATAGTTATCGATGGAGGTTCCCAAGATAACTTGCAACAGCTACCTGAAGGCTTTGCTTACAATGACTTTACTGAAGACTCGTCCATGCATACTTTGGAATTGTACTCTTGTGACGCCTGTTTCATGGTCTTCCAGTCAGAAGGAGAGTTGCTACAGCACAATTGTACTCATACATTCACCACTAGTTACTAGCGTTCCTCTCTTGTCTACCAGCTCACGAGCAAATAATGAGTACGGTTATAACAGGGCAGACTATACATAGTAATCATATTGTATATTATATAATAAATTAAATATTTACCGAAGTTGTCGTTCTATTTGCCTCAGACTCCCTGAAGATTTGTGGCTCACATCAAGAAGTGTAATCAAGCAAATAAGTAGATGTATTTCGGTCGCTACGTGATCCGAGAAAGGTATCCACTTATTCTATAAGCCCAGCCTCCTCTACCTAGATGCACGCAAAAGGAATAATGGAGGGTGGTCATAAAATTCCAATGCACAAAAATATATATAAAAAATATAAGTGTGTGTGTATTTTTGTACGTTTGAATTACTGTACCTATGTGCACTTTCGTAAGTATACATGTGTGGGAGGTGTACACTGAGGTACTCACACTGGTTTAGCGCTTTACTTAATGTATTAATCCAAGAAGAAAGATGGAGGTGTGTCTTGACTAGGATGAAGGAATGCTCTCTAAACAAATTGAAGCTACCCTCCTCTTCCCTGGATTAAACTTCGAGTTTCTCCCATTACTCAGGCGCTGTTGGACCCTAACGTATCGATTTTATTTCGTTCATAACTCGAGAACCTCTCGAGTTATGAACGAAATATTCAAATATTTTTAATGCTTGTGTACAGTAATGAGGGCCAGATTAAAAAAAATGGCTTGTGGAGGAGCCCTGTGACCAAGGTTATTGAAGCCGTCCCCAGCAATCCTGAAATGGTTGGGCTTCGAAATGAGCCGAGGTAGGAAAAACAGCCTGTAAAACTGTATGTAGATACAGAAATTCATACGCAACATGGAGGCAACATGATTATGTTGATCTGTTACAACAAGATTTCAGTATTTATTAGCTGAATAACCTAACACCAGTCATTCAGTTTGTGACTTTGTAAATGGTCCAAGTCGGACCGAAATGTCGTCGTAAGCTCCTCTCTTCTATGTGCGGGTTATTTGTGTATCGTTCCACTCACGGCATTGTGCCTTTTTTTTTTTTGTTATTCAGTTACTCACTACTTATACAGTAGTTACATATTACCCTCAGCAGTGGGCCAATGTTCATGTAACAGGCTTGACCCAGTTACCCTCCCTGCCATCTACGCTCCATTTTTGACACCTCTGTATACATTGGCACTCTGGGCAGGAGAGTGCCAAGCTCCGCAGTGATTGTTCTCTCACACCTGCTTTGATCATAATGATGATGTCCTCTTACACTTGCATTGATCATGATATGGAAAACATGAGGAAATTAAAACTATATCGGATTATAAAACAAATTCCAACTACACAATAAAGCGAAAAACTAATGTAAAAGACCTGGGAGTGATCATGTCAGAGGCTCTCACCTTCAAAGTCCATAACATTGTATCAATCGCATCTGCTAGAAAAATGACAGGATGGATAATGAGAACCTTCAAAACTAGGGATGCCAAGCCCATGATGACACTCTTCAGGTCGCTTGTTCTATCTAGGCTGGAATATTGCTGCACACTAACAGCACCTTTCAGGGTAGGTGAAATTGCTGCCTAGAAAATGTACAGAGAACCTTCACGGCACACATAACTGCCATAAAACACCTAAATCCTGGGAACGCTTGAAGTTCCTCAACTTGTACTCCCTGGAACGCAGGCGGGAGAGATGCATGATTATGTACACTTGGAAAATCCTAGAGGGATTAGTACCAAACTTGCACACGAAAATCACTCCCTACGAAAGCAAAAGACTCAGCAGACGATGCAACATCCCCCCAATGAAAAGATGGGGTGCCACTAGCACGATTAAGAGACAACATAATTAGTGTCAGGGGCCCAAGACTGTTCAACTGCCTCCCAGCATACATAAGGGAGATTACAAATAGACCCCTGGCTGTCTTCAAGCAGTCACTGGACAGGCACCGAAAGTCAGTATCTGACCAGCCGGGCTGTGGTTCGTACGTCGGGTTGCATGCGGCCAACGGCAACAGCCTGGTTGATCAGGCCCTGATCCACCATGAGGCCTGGTCACAGACCGGGCCGCGGGGGCGTTGATCCCCGAAACCCTCTCCAGGTATACCTACTCCAGGTATGAATGTGCTCTGAAGCAAGGCAGTAGACCACCGTAGAGTAAACGCATCACAGCGGTTGCTTGATCCACTACACGAGGGTCACCAGTACACCAGTCGAGAATACCTAAACACCTAAAATCAAGAATTAAAGCACGCTCAGTGTGTATATATATATACTGAGAGTCTACACTCTCGTGTTATGAAAAGACTTCGTAATAACCCTGAAGGTTATATCCCAGGATAACCAAAGAAAGCCAAGTAGTGTGAACTTATTGCATTGGGCCTCAGTCACTTCTCCTGGATGCCACTTAAAATTTGTCGACATAACATTAGGTACCTATTAACAAGGCGATCAGGACAAGCAGTAATGGAGCCTAATTCTCATCTAACTCATGAAAAGAGAGGAGGAGAAAGGAGGAGAGGAGAGGGGAGAAGGAGGAGGATAGAGGAAGAGGAAGATGGAGGTAGGAGGAGTTAGGAGGATGAGGAGAGAAGAGGAGGAGGAGGATGGAGGAGGAGGAGCGTGAATCACCAAAAGCCTCCTGGCAACCCCCATCTGAGTGGTATAAAAGGCTTCAATTCTTTAGTTTAAGCCGCTGATGCTATTATTACTATATCACGGGGAAAGCGCTAAATCTTTAGGGAACCTCCCATTTCCTAGGGGAAATAAGAGATAACTATACTTGATTAGAAGAAGGGGTTGGGATAGTTTCAATTCCTTAAATTATGATATTTTCACCAGCATCAACACCCCGTTCTTGAAGGGAGACCTATGCCCTTGAAGGGAGGCCTGTGTCGCTGAAGAGAGACCTATGCCCTTGAAGGGAGACTGTGCCCCTGAAGGGAGACCTATGCCCTTGAAAGGAGGCCTATGCCCCTGACGGGAGGTGTTCCCTTGAAGAGAGGCCTGTGCACTGTATAAGAGGAGGAACACGATATATACCTCGAGAGGTGTATGCCTCTCAAGGTAAATAATGCATATATAATGGTGAGAATTTACTTTCATCCCTATTTTAGGGATTAAAATATTCCTGTCTGCTGGTGAAATGGTTACGTGCAGGCTTAATGATCCAAGACAGGATTAAAGATGAAGAAAGTCGAAAAGACTATTGTCGACACTACCATTTCTTCAGCGGACGAATGTGATTCAGGTATCAAGAAAGACACGAAGAAAGCCATTAGTGAGGGTAATGAGAGGATGATGGTGAGTGTTCGTGTCACTGATAGTGATAGTAGGAATTTTTGATGGTGATTGTGTAGACGATGGTAACAGTGGCAGCGGTACCTATGCTGGTGGTATACAGGGATGGTGAAGATGCTAGTGAAGGGTGGTGGCGGTAGTGGGGTTTGTGATAGGGGTGGCGTTGGAGGTGGAGGTGGTTGTGGTAGTAGGGGTGGCGTTGAGTGTGGAGTGGTTGTGGTACAGGGGTGGCGTTGGAGGTGGAGGTGGTTGTGGTAGTAGGGGTGGTGTTGGGGGTGAATGTGGTTGTGGCTATAGAGATGGTTTGGAGGTGTTGGTGACTGTAGTGATGCTAAAGTAAGGGAGGTATACAGGGTTGGCACGACGATGACACCATCTAGCAGGTACCAACCACACCACACACAACACACACACACCAACACAACACACACACGGGTAGCCTGTGCCATGGGCAGTACACCAGTGTGGGCAATGCCACAGTGAAGGAAAGACTATGTTGGTCTCTCCCTGAGAGGTGGACCTGCATTTCAAAAATCCCCCAAGAACTCCAAAATTTCCCCAAAGAGCGCTATTCTTCCCCACGAAGTGGAGGAGGATTGGCCTCCAACACACCTGCACTGAATGACCATGCGGGTTTCTGTTTCAAATTGGGAAAAAAATAATAAATAAATAAAAAAACGTCCCACTGGATAGCCCTACTTCTACGAGAACCATTTGGGCCCCAAAACAATTCATTTTTTATCACGGTGACAGCAAAAAAAACGAACGAGTGCTGCAGCCTCCCTACCCCTTCCCCACAAGGGTTAGCGCCCCAAATACACAAACAATTGACCGCTAAGTTAACTACAAAGTGAACATTTTTTTTGATGATCGTGACAAAAGTAAATAATACCGAGAATTGGGAGCTACGCACAATAGTGAAATTTTTTCTTAATCTTTACTATCTTTTTTTTTTCTTTTTAAACACCTGTTTTTGTCGATCCTCAAAGTATAACTAACTCTTGCTGGGCAGATTGACCACTTTTTTATTTGGAGAAAAGGGAAAAAAAATACCTTGATGTCTCTGTGGGTTTTTTTTACATTCTACGGAAGTCTTTTGGGGTTACTAAAAAGGGGAGACGTGATGATATAGGCGAGCCCTTGAGTAACATTATGCGAACAGCCTTTACCCCCCACACCGCTCACAAATAAGTATCCACTTTAAGCACCCTTATTATTATTTATAGCAATTTATTAGAATCAAAACCAGTATCCTTTAAATCACGTTTCGTACTTTCCTTTAATAAATCTATCGATGCAGCATTTAATTAAAAACCCTTAATATAATATATATATAATATTTAAATATATATTTTATATTATATATATAATATATAATTAAATTTATATTTATTTATATTTATTATGCAAAAAAACCACTGTGAAAAAATAGAGAAATTTCCAGCGCTTTCGTGACACCACAAGTTTCCCTTTAATGTGAGAGTCACGAAAGCGCTTGGAATTTTTTCTTTTACAGTGGGTTTTTTTGATATCCCAAAATCACCTTTTTTTGTGTCTTATGCATATATATATTATTTTATATTTATATTAAAATATATATATTATATATATAAATTTTTATATTATTTATATATATATGAAGTACCACCCCTTTTAGTGGATGGGCCCCCTCCTCAGAAAGACAAAAAAGTACCTCAGAGAAAAAATCAAGGTTCCCCCCGGGGCTGTTTGAATATTTTTTTTTCCCTACCCCCCCCTAATTTTTTTTTCTTGTGAACATTTTTTTAATAAACAGAAGCATTTACAGAAAACACAAACATGAATACAATGGTACAAAGT